AGAAAAGGGTGAATGTATATATGTGACAATATCCAATAGCCTAAATAGATGTGACACGATAATATCACCTATATATTCATTCGGCTTGTCTGTTTGTTTTCAACATACCTTTGAGCAATTGCTTTCTCGCTTTTATCCTAATGTGCATGTTAAATATATGCACATACTCATTGACTGATGACCATTCTCTATTCACCTATCTATTCATTATTATCTCTTCAATAGGTGAAAAGAAATCCATGCTTGAGTGCATCCAATATTAAAGCTGGTTGACTTATGATAGAGAAAGAGAGAGAGAAAAAGAGACAATTGTTGAAAACGAAAAAAAAAGAAGAAAACGAACGAAATTACTACCTATAAATACAACCACGAATACATTGATATACATACATATGGATTATTTCGAACAAACAAAAAAGACACAGTAAGTTTTATAAAACGAAAGCATTATTCAAAGAGTTTTTGTGATGTTGATTATTAAATTCACATTCTCTTTCAATAGTGCCTTTGTCTATCTATACGTATAAACTATATAATATGTACATCTAGTAGGTTAAATAAATAGGTGAATATTATTATTTTTTCTTTGTCTTTAAAATTAAACTAATATAGAGAACATATCACAAGGAACACACACAGACACAAGGTAAACTAATTATCCTCATGAATTAAAAATCCACCGAATGTTGTATAACGCCAACCATATAATGATGTTTTAAAATTATAATCTCCATCTTCACGTGATTGAGCACGAATATATATTCGATCACCTCTATTTAAAGATAAAATAACGGTGGTTGATGCTGTATTCCAAACAGGTACTTTCTGATTTTTAACAGCTGTTAAATATCCTTCAACCCATAATGGTACAACATTTTCTGTATTTTTACATAAAGATACAGATGCCTAAAATCAAAAAAAAACATTCATATAACATATAAATAAATAAATTTCTCTCACAATTTGATTTGCTGGAACACAAACAGTTAAACTAAATTCATATAAACCACTTATTGGTGCATAATAAATACCCGTTGTTTTATTAAGATTATAATTTTTATTTAATATTATATCATCCCAAACAACTATCGATGAATCTGTTTGTAAGGAAAATGTATTGTTTAATGCAACGAAAAACGCAGATTTTACATTTGAATAACCATCACGACCTCGATAGACAAAACGAATAAAATAATTTAATTTGAAAAAAATCTAAACAATCTTACCTGGTGGACCGGTCAAACCTGGTGGACCACCTGGTCCTTGTATACCTTGTTTACCAGGTGGACCAGGTGG